CTCTTCCGATCTATAAACTGGTCTAATTGTTTTAAAAACATGCCTAAGCCACGACAAAGTATTCAAGCTAAATGTTTTTCGTCTTTGTTTTGTATTTTTTTTACATTTGTAGCTACAAAACTGGCGTCACAAAGGTGTTACAGCGATTAGTGTATTTGTCTTTTATCTCTGTGTCCAAAATTTCTTTCGTTGATTGGGAACACTCGGTCGTCAGATCTTTTACCTTGACCTCCAGGGACAAGATCTTCTCTTTCAGGCCAATCATCTCTTCTTTCGTGATAGTTTCAGTCTAGGACAAAAACAACAGAATGAGTATTCATGAACAGTTAACACTATTTGTGAATTTTGATGATACCATATGTACAGGTGTGGTACGAGCATCCTTTGCTGGTATTACAAATTGTGATACAATCTCTGCATCTCTCATCTTCGCCATAGCTTGTAATGTCTTGTAATGTCTTGTAATGATCAGGATAGGGACTGCTGTGGTCATTCTCTGTAAACAAAACGTAAGCAGCCACAATTTGTGGGTTTGTCATCTTTGCCATAGCTTGCAATATTAGGATAGGGACTGACTGTTGTGTTCTTCCTCTCTGACCAAAACGTACGCAGCCACAATTTGTGGGTGCGTCATCTTCCCCAAGGTTTGGAGGACTTTGTTTCTTTCGTCTTGATCCTAATAAAAATAATAAGTTTTTGAGGCAAGCCCACCTACATGATATTTGCTCCATATTTATGGAGAAGAAATTGTGTGAATGAAACAAAATTTTTTATATAATTTACTTGGCAAAAAGATAGATCGGACTTGAATTTATTTTTTTACCTGGTGGATTTTTTTCCGCGCCAGGGCTTTTATGTAGCTGTTTATCTAAAAGATAATGATTAATTATATTTTAGTATAAATTTATTTACCTACCAAAGTGCAACCAATTTTTTTAGCACCATTTTGTACAATATGATAGGAGTTATGGCAAAAGTTATATACAACAACTCTTCACTCAACACATATTTAGACACTGCGTCAAACTCAAATATTTACACACTGCATCAATCTCAAATATTTACACACGTCTTTCTTGGAAGAAAATCCATTTTCTCAGTTATCTAGAAGAGTATTAAATTGCACACTATTTTAAGCTTAGAGGAAAGATCTGGTATAAAAGACAAAGAGATCTTTGGCTTGATGTTTTGACTTACATATATACAATATACATCTTTAACACATCACTGATCAATAGTCGGCAGGCTCGCCGAGAGAATTCTCGGGGCAAATCTTCTCTGGGGCACTATGACATCATTATTTTTAAGCTAGTCAGTCACCCAAGTCAGTCACCCAACTAAACCTTAGCTAGGCTGTATGTGGAACTACTGTAAAGGGCCTTCAAGTTCAAAAATCCTGTGACCAATTTAAAGAACCTACTCAATTTTAGGGACTCTATTAAGGTGGGGGCCCTATATTATAAACTTTGGGAATGTTATTTCACGCCCTGGAATTGTTGACACTTCTGGGAACAAGAAGATTAAACTACGCTCATACTTACCATCTCCTCATTGGGTGAACAAACGCTGTTAGTGGGTGCTAATGTTGCTGATGATAGTCCAGGACTACTTCCAAATGATGTTGTAGTATGTGTTATTGTGTTGTTGGAAGATCTCCAGTAGCGGCTGGCTCACGAAAGGCTTCATTGCTGCAGTACTGCAAACAAAGATGTCAAAATGTTAGTAATCGTGTAGGAATCGGGTAATAACTTGTTAAAGAGCAACGTGACTTATGAGATTCTAACAAGAGCACTGAAGAAAGTTTGGGCGATAAAAAATTTGAGTCCTGAAATTCATAGCAATTTATAGCTGACAAGCTGTAATATTTTCAACACTAGCCTACTTTCTTACTAAGGAAAGATCTGGTATAAAAGACAAAGAGATTTTTGTCTTGATGTGTACTTACATCAGTCACCAGGCTCTGGTGTGAAATCCTCAGAAAAGGGGTGAAAGGAATCACCCAAGGAATAGTTGGGAGACAGGTTCAAAGAAGCTGAGCAAGATAGGATTGGCTTGGGCAGATCTTGGAGAAACAGTCCAGCTTAGGTCTGTGTGCATTGGAAGGCAGTTGTTGATGGCTGCAAAGAGCGTAACTTGAGTACATTTATCATACCATACCATACTATTCCACACCATACCATGCCATACCATACCATACCATACCATACCATACCATACCATAACGACTCGTGAAATTCGTAAGTCGTGATTAACGAGTCGTGTTTTTTATTTGTATATTACAATAAATAATTTAAGTTATATGTTATCCAGTTATAAAGATATAAAAATTAAAAAGTGCCTACATATGTCCAAAATTCACACAAATTTTGAAAAATATTATTTCACTTTAGATGGCGTAAAGGCCGATTTCCATTGCGGTCGCTTTGCGGGCGGAGCGAATATTACTCAACTTTCTCTGTAGTTGCCTAACCTGTGCATTTTTTGTTTGCCTGAATGCTTGCCGACACGCCATTTAGAACTACATTCAACTTTCTTGGCGTTCCCGCGCGAATTAGTAGGGAGTTTAAGCTTAGAGGAAAGATCTGGTATAAAAGACAAAGAAATTTTTGACTTGATGTGTTGACTTACATATATACAGTATACATCTTTAACACAGGTATCGATAATTCATCTCAAGATTTGGGGTATCACATTCAATTGAACTAATTTGTAGATTTCATTATTTTGTTCATTTCTGAATTCCTTCTGTCCATGTCAATCTTTTTGCATTTGCCTAAGGGGCGGACCATTAGAAATCCCGGGAGGGAGAGTGAAAATCCCCCCCCCCCCAAAAAAAAATAATTCGTGCAAAGAAAAATGCCTGGAAAAAATTCGCGCAGCCATTAGTCAGAAAAAAAAATTCGTGCAAGTAAACAGCAAAGTCCAAATAGTTTGGAAAAAAAATTGTTGCAGAAGTTAAATGCATAAAAAATCCTGCAGAGACATGAAACTGAAAAAACCAAATCGTGCCGCAAAAATTTTAGATCCCCCTCGCGGGATTTCTAATGATCCGCCCCTAATGATCATTTCCCCCAATTCTGATCAATCAGTTACAGTGACTCTCCAAGAATGCAACATGAAACCAACTAAGGGTAAAGGCAGTGTCTGGGTGACTCTGTAAAGACCATTTCCATAGAGACTCCATATGACCAATGCCAATTTCTGGGTAAATGTACAACGTAATCTGACCTCCAGCTTACCTGAATGCTATTAAGAGCTGGTAATGGATGTGAACTATGGTCATTTGAGAATACAAATTGCACAACAATGTCGGCATGCGACATTGATGCCATTGTATGTAATATTTTGGTTCTTTCGTCTTTATCCTAAGAGAAATAATAAGTTTTTGAGGCAAGCCAACCTACATGATATTTGCTCCATATTACCATAAACAAATCAAACAAAATTTTATATATAATTTACTTGGCAAAAAGATACTCACTTTAATTTCTTTTTCTACCTGGCGGATTTTTTTCCGCGCCAGGCCTTTTATGTGGCTGTTGATCTAAAAGATAATGGATTGATTATATTTTGGTATAAATTTATTTGCCTGCCAAAGTGCAACCAATTTTTTTAGCACCATTTTGTACAATATGATAGGAGTTATGGCAAAAGTTATATACAACAACTTTTCACTCAACACATATTTACACACTGCATCAATCTCAAATATTTACAGACGTCTTTCTTGGAAGAAAATCCATTTTCTCAGTTATCTAGGAAGAGTATAAATTGCACATTAACCTATTCCCTTTGATCTAGACAAGTCTAGATAGAAATTCACATAGTACTATTCTACAAAGAATAAAAGTTTAACAATTTAATAATTAGAATATAATTTATGTTAAAAGAAAGATGCTCACCTTGTGGATTCTACGCTGCTGCAAGCCGGTAATTCGAGTAATTTTATGTGCAGAGAACAGTTTTTTACTCAAAATTTAACGCAGGTTTTGATTCAATTTTTTTAAAATTTCTAGTTTTTGCAAAGTATTTTGCAATATTTTCAAGACCTAAAAAATAAAATGAAAAACAATCGAGTAAACATCACTTGAATAACACTATGCCTGACAGATTCATATAAGTTTTAGTTGTTTTACCTTATTGCTGTTTTAATTAATTTCCGCATCTCCGCGTCCTATTGGAATAGAAAAAAATAATGTTAATTGAATACACAGTGCTTACGTGACGTAATTTTCAATGCATCTAAAAATTAAGTACACATACAGGGGCGTAAATCCTGTGGTGGTTGGCTCCCCCCCCCTACAAAGTTTCAAATGGGCAGTTTTTTCGGGCAAAACTCAGCATTTCGCCGGGCAAAAAAAACGAACGGGTGTTTTGAAGAGAATTTAAATTTTTGGGAAGTTCAACTTAAAAAAACCCCATTACGCTACTGTACATACAATGCATTGTGGTATACAAGTGGGTGGAATAATGATTGTCCGACATTGACAGGAGGACCACGTAATTAATGCACACTAGTTACGAACATTGTGAAAATTACAATTTAATTTTTGGTCGTACACACGAACAAATAAAACATGTCTAGGCAAACATGTCGGACGAAAATCTGCGAATCTGTACGGGTGTTTAATCTACTTATCAGTAATTAATACCACACATACAGTGTTGCATAATATCCATGGACATACTGTAATACCACACACATAAATTAATACCACACATACAGTGTCGCATAATATCCATGGACATACTGTAATACCACGCACATAAATTAATACCACACATACAGTATCGCATAATATCCATGGACATACTGTAATACCACACGCATAAATTAATACCACACATACAGTGTCGCATAATATCCATGGACATACTGTAATACCACACACATAATTAATACCACACATACAGTGTCGCATAATATCCATGGACATACTGTAGTACCACACACATTAATTAATACCACACATACAGTGTCGCATAATATTATATTTGGGGGCCTTATATTTGGATGGGCTTATTTTCCGGGAGGGAGCTTATATTTGGAATGATGCGAGCGTTAGTACATGTGGTGGTCTTATACACGGGGGGGGGAGGGGTTGTTATATTCGGGGGGAGGCTTATAGTCGGAGGTTCACAGTATGTGTGTTTTTGTGCCTCCTCGTATTTCCATTTCGCTGGAAACGTTTTTCACAAACATCACATTCATACAGTTTCTTATTTGTATGAATTTTCTCATGTCTTTTATGTTGCAAATGTACGCAAATCTTCTCTTACAAACATTAAGTCTTTCTTGCACTTTGTCAAACAACGCAAGCTTTCTTTGGGACACCCGGTAGGCATCCCAAATAAATATTATCTTTTATTAAATTTCTCAATAAATAAAACATTAAATAGACTAAATTTCTTAATTTCTATTAATAGATTTTTCTTAATTTCTAAATTTCAGTCTACCTCCATCTTTTCATAAATTGCATTTTTAATGTTTTTTCTTGTTTTCGCCATCCGTGCTGCTGTTCGGGCGTTTTTGTACTTTCTCATCTATTACGCACGCTATATCGTTGAACAGTAAAGAAAACAACTCCATAAGTATAGATGACTATCATTTACAGGCATAAAAACTCGCAGCTTGTCAACAAGATGTGTTCACACTGCTTGTTCACAGTTGCTGAGAAGATTACCATCTTGTAACAAGGTTGATGAAACCAACAGACTCGCAACATGTTATTACTCCAGTTTCCATGCCTTACCTTTCCTTTCTAGAAACACTTGGACACATAGTCAAACTGCAGATTGTTGATTTTTGATAATCACGTAAAACTTACCATAGTCAATCCAATCCAGGAACAGTTGGTCCAATGCCGCACGCGGAATTTTAATTCCTTGGCCGGTGGTGATGCACGTTACTCTTTTGCTACGCAAATGTGCCAATGTCGCCGAGCGGTTCTTGGCAAAGCCAACCGACCGCTGTACGTTGACGGTTTGGCCGAACGCACAGCGCACATCCTATAATATTAAGAATAAAGACGCTAAAAATATATTTTCGTGTTCTCGCTCATTTAAAGAGTCAACAGTAGCATCTAAAACATTCTGATATTTTTGTATTTCAACAATGCAAGATACGTACGCTCCACAACACGTCCAGTTTGTCGAAGGCCGTTTTGCGGATGGCAAAACCTGGGATCCACTCATCCGCACCGCTCGGTGTGACACGAACATATGGATTGATCCATGTCAAGGGTGCAACCTGCAAAAAGATTTTATCCTTAAGCTAAAATGAAAAAGAAATTTTTCAACCAGTCCAGCATAACGTTGAAATTAATGCTACATGCATGCCAGCATGAAGTAAAATTACAAGGAATCTTACATCTTCCTCTCGTATGCGTACGATTATCGAACGTTGCAGCCTCTTGAGCACCAAGGCAGTGCTTCGATTGCCACCAAGTGATTGAATGACATCAGCAGTGCTTGGGGAAAGATCGGCAGTGGCATGGATCTGGGAAAAAATGGACAAACTCCATAACAAAAAGTACAATAACAACACCTTCCACATTTTACACCTGAGACCAGGTATGAATTCACTGCGGAAGCTGCGGGGGAGGGGAGGTGCACCCCTAGGTAGAGGGTTGCAGGGGAATACTATTCAAAGCAAACAAATATTAAAGAAAATATGCATAATAACATGATAAGTGAATAACAATTACAATTTTAGTATAATCATTGATGGGTGGCGCACACGACCAACACAACTTGGCATCAAAACTGGCAGAACACCCTACCAGATCATGCTGGATGCATCCCTGTGCGAGATTAGAACACCAGTAACGGAGTAATTGTGACATTTTTATATTAAGAATGCAAAGACAAGGTTACAACCTGTGAATGCTAAAGTTTTGTGTTTAGAAAAATATGAACAAACAAAAAAGAAATCAGTCATTCAGTTGCTTTTCCCCAACTGTTTTTAAACATTTTGATTATTTGTTCTTCACAATCTATTGGACATTTTAAGCAGATATATACCATTGTATAAACAAGAAGGAGTATTGCCATTGCTTCCCTCCACCGATTTGATCTGGTGCCGAGGACTGCATAACGTTTCAGTCAGCATGCGTTGAATGCCCACGGCATGTCGAGCAACTTCGGGTCATGTGGCCTTCATACGCATCACCCACGCTACAATCAAACCCTACAAAAAAATGAAACTGTAAGTCTATTTTTAATCGTGACGATTCCACAATTCAATTCATTGTCTACTCATTGATTTGATAAGCATTCTCCATGCTATCCAGAGTTACACATAGATTTTGCTTGGATGCAAAAAGCCTATATTATTGAGTTTAGAATAGAGTGTTAAACACGCTCAAGGTTTGGCAGTAGTTCATTTCAATCTACCTAAAGATATTGTCTTTCCTTCTTTTACATATAAAATCCCACTTTGTTTCAGTATGTCTATGTACACCGAAAATACTTGTAAACATTTTCGTTCTTTATCTATGTATCTCAGTAAAGAACAATTTATAGTACCTTATTGCCTTTGACGAAGTCCACTAATCGAGATTCAATTTAGCTAGAATGGTTGGGATCTTTAGTGAAATCAAATCGCAGCTTTGCAGGCCAATAATAAAATCTGTTTTCCCTGTGGGCAATATGGGAGAATCCCATCTCGTCAGCAGCCAATCAAATACATGCTTGCCATGTATAAACAAAAATGAATACTTGCCAGAAGTATAGCGCTCTACGTTTCTCGGGAGAAGCCGTACTTGTTTCCAGGAGACGCTTATTTCTGGGAGTCAAAAGCCAAAATATGAATAAATAATTGTCAATTATTGTATATTTACATTATTTTATTATTATTCTAAATGTCGGCTGCGATATTTGAATACAACTAAATCTTTCTCATACAGGCAACATGTATATAAAAAAAATCAAAATCAAAATATTTTGAAAACCACAAGCTTATTTGCTGGTATATTGTTATATATCCATTTAATTTGTATATAGTAATAACTGAGTATTCCCATACAACACATATCAGTACAAATACATGGCAATCACGCTAGTCTATGTTGATTACAATATTAAGTTGTTGATATTTTGCTTGTATTTTTTTATTGTAACAAAACGCTCTATATTTTCCTTACTTACCGCAGTGGCAATCTCAAAGTCTGGCAACACTGGTCTGGGAAAAGTGGCATCAACCGGCCTTCTGGAAAAGAGACCAAAATAAAAACACCCATCAGCAATTATTTACATGGTTTTGTTCCAATATTTCTAAACTAGCATGTATCAAAAATATAACTTGTTGTCCTTTTTACAGTCTTCATCTGTTCATGCTTTTTGTACACACAATGAATATTCATATTGCAATGAAAATATACCTGCGACAAGAGCATGGACTTACTCTTCAACGTGTGTCAGACAGCCCAAGAACCCTCAGCTTGGTTAGTTTCTACTAAACCATTGTTAGATGTACCTACCCTGTATTTGGTACAAATACTCAGATAATGAGGCTGTAATCTTGGGGTCATCAAACAGCGATACCAAGGTTGTGCTTGACACTGCCCGAATCATCAAATTCCTGGAACAAATGGTTTTTAAAAATTTTAAAAATTTTTTCCATTTATGTACCGTAAGTCAGTGATGACCTGTGGAACAAAACTTACAGCGACATCTCTGATGTTGTCTCATTGCCGCCAGCAATGATGATTGGGTGCGGTACGGTTGCTCCCTGAAGGTATGCAAAAAGCTGTAGAGACAACAACTTTCCACAATTCCTGGCTTCAGAGTAAATCATGGCAATGTTGCTCTCCCCTAAATAATGACAAATACATTTAAACATGCATACATGGTGGAAATTTAATGTCTGTATTTAATAATCAGAACATACCTTCGCTTGCATTCTCCGAGCACTTCTCCTTCAACTTCGACGATCCACCTGCTTTCGCCGTCACAAGTGGCGCACAAACCTACAAATTTTAAATAAAAATTTGTGACTGATTGACCATCTACGACCAACCAGACGCCTTCCCTCTTCAAACGTTCACGTTGGATACTATAGTTCTGAACATGTGGAACAGGCCTGGATGTGGACTCGACTTGCCTTTTAATAGTGCTATATGCCAGCTTGTGATTGGCTATTTTTCAGCCAATCATTTGGCTTCTGTATCAGCTGAAAAGTCAACCTCGTTCCCAGCATCCTCGTCAGCTTTGTTTCGACGGATCTTCCAGAACCATCATAGTTGACGCTGACACGTTTTATTTTCCAAAACCGACAAGAGATGTCCTTTAACTGTCTTGTCCATAACTTTAAAATAACAGTAAGCTTTTCATCATATTTATACTGTACATTTTTCCCTGTGGGCAATATGGGAGAATCCCATCTCGTCAGCAGCCAATCAAATACATGCTTGCCATGTATAAATAAAAACGAATACTTACCAGAAGTAGCGCTCTACGTTTCTCGGGAGAAGCCGTACTCGTTTCCAGGAGACGCTTACTTCTGGGAGTCAAAAGCTAAAATATGAATAAATAATTGGTCAATTATTGTATATTTACATTATTTTATTATTCTAAATGTGGGCTGCAATATTTGAATACAACTAAATCTTTCTCATACAGGCAACATGTATATAAAAAAATCAAAATAAAAATATTTTAAAAACCACAAGCTTATTTGTTGGTATATTGTTATATATCCATTTAATTTGCATATAGTAATAACTGAGTATTCCCATACAACACATATCAATACAAATACACAGCAATCATGCTAGTCTATGTTGATTACAATATTAAGTTGTTGATATTTTGCTTGTATTATTTTATTGTAACAAAACGCTCTATGTTTTCCTTACTTACCGCAGTGGCAATCTCAAAGTCTGGCAACACTGGTCTGGGAGGAGTGGCATCAACCGGCCTTCTGGAAAAGAAACCTAAATAATAACGTCCATCAGCAATTTACATGGTTTTGTTCCAATATTTCTAAACTATCATGTATCAAAAATATAACTTGTCGTCCTTTTTACAGTCTTCATCTGTTCATGCTTTTTTGTACACACAATGAATATTCATATTGAAATGAAAATATACCTGCGACAAGGGCCTTGACTTCCTTTTCAACGTGTCTCAGACAGCCCAAGTCTTCTCTGGAAACATCGGACACATGGACTGGATTGTATTCCTCATCTGGTTGTTCTCCATCATCAAGTTCTGTTTGTAAAATATTATCAATTAGCAATAATAGCTACTGTAGTTAATAAAATGAACCAGTATTTGAACTACAACCATGACAGAATCCATTTAGATGACATAGGCTATCGATGACATATACTATTCTCATCATACTGGCATCAAAAATGCTCTTTCCTTTCTAAAAACACTCGGACAGATAGTCAAGCTGCAGTTTGTTGATTTTTGATAATTACGTAAAACTTAGCATAGTCAATCCAATTGAGGAACAGTCGGTCCAATGCTGCACGCGGAATCTTAATTGATTGGGCCGTCGTGATACACCTTGCAGTTTTACGTCGCAGATCTGCCAATGTGGCGGAGCGGTCCTTGGCAAAGGCAATTGACCGCTGTATGTAGGCGGTTTCGCCCAAAGCACAACGCACATCTTACAATATTAACAACAGAGACGCTAACAATATATTTTCATGTTCTCACTCATTTAAAGAGTCAACAGTAGCATCTAAAACGTTCTGATATTTTTGTATTTCAACAATGCAATATACGTACGCTCCACGACACGTCCAGGTTCTCAAAGGCGGTTTTGCGGATGGCAAAACCTGGGACCCACTCATCCGCACAGCTCGGTGTGACACGGACAGATGGATTGATTTATGTCAAAGGTGCAACTTGCAAAAAGATTTTATCCTTAAGCTAAAATGAAAAGGAAATTTTTCAACCAGTCCAGCATAACGTTGAAATTAATGCTACATGCATGCCAGCATGAAGTAAAGTTACAAGGAATCTTACATATTCCTCTCGTATGCGTACGATTATCGAACGTTGCAGCCTTTTGAGCACCAAGGCAGTGCTTCGATTGCCACCAAGGGAATGAATGACATCAGCAGTCCTTGGGGAAAGATCGGCAGTGGCATGGATCTGGTAAAAATGGACAAACTCGATAACAAAAAGTACAATAACAACACCTTCCACATTTTACACCTGAGACCAGGTATGAATTCACTGCGGAAGCTGCGTGGGGGGGGGGGGGTGCACCCCCTAGCTAGAGGAGTGCAAGGGAATGCTATTCAAAGCAAACAAATATTAAAGAAAATTTGCATAATTACATGATAAGTGAATAACAATTACAATTTGAGTATAATCATTGATGGGTGGCGCACACGACCGACACAACTCGGCCCCAAAACTGGCAGAACACTCCACCAGATAATGCTGGATGCATCCCTGTGTGAGATTAGAACACCAGTAATGGAGTAATTGTGACATTTTTATATTAAGAATGCAAAGACAAGGTTACAACCTGTGAATCTTAAAGTTTTGTGTTTAGAAAAATATGAACAAACAAAAAAGAAATCAGTCATTCAGTTGCTTTTCCCCAACTGTTTTTAAACATTTTGATTATTTGTTCTTCACAATCTATTGGACATTTTAAGCAGATATATACCATTGTATAAACAAGAAAGAGAATTGCCATTGCTTCCCTCCATCGATTTTGATCTGGTGCCGAGGACTGCATAACGTTTGTCAGGATGTGTTGATTGTCCACGGCATGTCGAGCCTTCGGGCCATATGGCCTTCATACGCATCCCCCACGCTACAATCAAACCCTACAAAAAAGTGAAACTGTAAGTCAATTTTTAATCGTGACGATTCCACAATTCATTGTCTACTCATTGATTTGATAAACATTCTCCTTGCTATCCAGAGTTATACATAGATTTTGCTTGGATGCAAAAAGCCTATATTATTGAGTTTAGAATAGAGTGTTAAACACGCTCAAGGTTTGGCAGTTGTTCATTTCAATCTACCTAAAGATATTGTCTTTCCTTTTTTTACATATAAAATCCCACTTTGTGTCAGTATGCCTATGTACACCGAAAATACTTGTAAACATTTTCGTTCTTTATCTATGTATCTCAGTAAAGAACAATTTATAGTACCTTATTGCCTTTGACGAAGTCCACTAATCGAGATTCATTTTCACTAGAATGGTTGGGATCTTTAGCGAAATCAAATCTCAAGATTCTTCCTTCCAGTCTGTAATACAAACAAAAGATAAAGGAGTGACAATTTATCTCGCACATATACTGTACATGCAAGTAGTTAACCGAGCCTTTCCAAATACATTAAATGCAAATTACAAATTATTTTTACAACTATATATTTATCCATGAAGGATAATTACAACATGTTTTAATTATTTATTTATTAATTTAACAATTGCACGATTGACGAAAAAGACAACAGAACTATTTGTTATTTATTATGTCCCACCAAACGATTTACAAAATACACTAACATATAACAATTAATACATAAAATTACAATCACAATATAACATGAACTATATGACTATACATTCCTATACATATTTATGAAAAACAGTTTGTTTCCTACGTCTTATACATACAATATTAGACAAATGCGAAAAAAACCCAATTAACTAAAAAAAATTAACTACAATTAAATTAACATTACAAGTGTTTATTATCATTATCATTAATATTTATTAATTAGAGTATATTAAAAAACAAATTTTGTTGGCCTTTTGTTCAAACTAAGCACAACAATGCATTAGATGCAGTAGATGAGACAGGAATTAGAGGTGCATGTGGATGAAATGGTGCTTCACATACTATTGAAATTTTGGAGCCAAAATGGTCATAGCTGGGTACCCAATGTGCCACTTTGTAAAGATCCGTCTGTGGTAGTGAACTAATTGAACTGGGATTTCACAGATATTTTTGCTTTGTCTTAGAGGCAAAGTGGTTATCAGAGTGGAAAGACATCTCTACATCAATGGAAATTTCCAAAAAGCAATATTGGCTTAAGTTATGCTAGTTAAAAACCATTGTATCCTGGTTAATCCATGTTGTGTGAGATGCAGCCATATTTAGATGTATATAATGATAACAGTTGATAAAATAATTTAAAATACCTGTCAGATTCCAGGGTGTTACTGGTAAACAGTGTGGTACCCTTGGGCGTATGGATACCTCTTTTTAATGACCCCTGAGTTAAGCCACCTTGAAACAGAAATTGTGATATAATTGTTGTATTCTATGATTATCATTTTTTGAATTTTAAATCAATATTTTTAGGCCACAACTATCAAGAACTCTTTCTATGCTTACGCTGTTTGTACCAACATACAGATTTATACTTTGTATTCATGAGGTTCTCCGACATCTTGGGAAGGGAACCCTCAGCTTGGTTAGTTTCTACTAAACCATGTTTAGAGGTACCTACCCTGTAGTTGGTACAAATACTCAGATAAGGAGGCTGTCATCTTGGGGTCATCAAACAGCGACACCAAGGTTGTGCTTGACACTGCCCGAATCATCAAATTCCTGGAACAAATGGTTTTTAAAATATTTTTAAATTTTTTGCCATTTATGTACCGTAAGTCAGTGATGACTTGTGGAACAAAACTTACAGCGACATCTCTGATGTTGTCTCATTGCCGCCAGCAATGATGATTGGGTGCGATACGGTTGCTCCCTGAAGGTATGCAAAAAGCTGTAGAGACAACGACTTTCCACAATTCCTGGCTTCAGAGTAGATCATGGCAATGTTGCTCTCTCCTAAATAATGACAAATACATTTAAACGTCATGCATGCGTGTTGGTATAATCAAGATATTTGTGCCAGTTCCATGGCTGAGAGGTTACGCATTCTAAAAATAAATTAAGAAACTTTCACTAACATTACCAGATACTTTTTCGTTCATTTACCCCAATTTAAATGGACCTATTCCCTTTGATCTAGACAAGTCTAGATAAAATTCATATCTGATATCTGCCTTTTTCAACACGCTTCTTGCTTCATCAGTCCATTGACCAGACAATCAAGGTATTTGGGCGAGAGAATGAGGGTGCATCGTTCTATCGCTGAACTGCAACCGCACTGTGCGTAACAGCGAGGCAGAAGAATCAAAGTCGCTAGCCTTAAGGAGAATCCATCTAAAATGAAAAATTAATGCAATAGCTTTGATGTTTATATCGAATTCAAATTAACCTTTCTTTCAAGCATCTTTCATATTAATTAAACGCAATCTTCTTCTAGTTAGAATACATACAAGTTCTATCTCTAACAGCCGAACTAGAAATACATGCATGCAATAACCCCTCGCCTGTTTTCAAAAGATGTATACGCAGTGCCGTTACGAGCACTTCGTCTCGGGGTGTGTGTGAGGTTAGATAGAAGGGGGGGGGGGGGGTTC